CGTTTGTTGGTATTTCAATGGCACTGGTGCTATTTGTCCTTAAATTGTACACAGGACATTTTTGCTGACTAAGAAATAGGAATTTCAGGAAAACAGGAGCATCCTCAATGTTTGTTGGAAAAAAACAAAACAAAACAACTAATTCTTATTATGTGAGACTGTTTAGCTTCAAATACATTTTCAAATTTGAAAATCCCCCTTTCTTTTATTTAGTTAATTTTTTAAGCTATCAGGAAGACATCTTTTTCTTTCCCTCCTGTCTCCTCAGCTGCTCTCTACCTGTGAACATTTCATAACTGCTGCAAAGCTTTTAAGAACATAAAAAGAAAACAAAATTTTGTTCACACCATTTCTGTCTGTGTGTGGGTGTCTAGCACATCTACTAATGTCAAGATTAAATTATTTGGAGCCCTTTGAAGCTCTGTTGACTCTGGTGACTTCAACCTGAACTCAACCCCAACAGGCTAAACTCACAGCAGGCTTCTGGCCTTCTCTGCAGGTTTCTCGCCTCCCAGTGAAAGTCCGAACTATCCCTGGACAGTGTGGCAGGGGCACAGCAGAGTATCTTTTGGCAGAAGAATTTGAAGAACCTCAGCCATTCCGAAGATTGAGAATGACCTCTATGAAATGGAAACAAATTCTAGAAGTGCATTCTTTTTAAATATCTCACTTTAATAATTTCCTCAATGATGGGAATGTCAGTAATCTCTCTGCAATGGTTCCAGTTTAAAATTTGTTCCGTTGACTTAATTTCCCCATACACCCCTAAAACAAAGCTCTCTTTTAAAGCAAGACAGGCTTGGGGTTAAAAATGGACAGCTTAAGGTTATCCCACTCCTTCCTGTCACACTCTGTGACCCTCACGTGGATGCAGGAGTGGGACGCTGTAGTGGTGCATCTGAGAGCAGCATTGGGCGGGGTCCTCTTACCCTGCAGGAGTCGTCTCTCAGGGGATTCCCTGAGGGGGCTTCCAATGGGTTGGTCACCCGGGAAGTCACCTGAGCCCCCTTCCAGGAGAAAGTGGACACAGTGAGGGATAATTTTATTATTGTTTACTAAAAATTGGTGATGGTGATGTCTTATCATAGTTGTCTTAAGATATGGAAAAACTTGCTATTTCAGGAAGTCAAAAGATGTCAGGTAAATTGATCCCACAAAATTGTGCACCACTCAAGGAAGTTCCCTGTTCTTGTTTTTCCCTGTGGCACTGGGCAGGTCCTGAGTACTGAATAATTACATCATCGTCTTGTGCATAGTTAATAAGTAGTCAACCTGCACTTAAAAAACTTTGAGTCTGTTAATATTAATCGCTTCATTATTTTTCTCAGTGAAGGAAATCAAAACACACATTTTTAATATCCTTACCAACTTAGTAGTTTCTTTGTCTAGTACTGTTTAGTAAGAGATACATAGTTTTATTCATAAGGTGGGATATTTTTCTAGATATCAGATTCTTTATGCAAGAATAGAAATATGACCTATTTAGGTTATGGAAATATATCAAAATACGTTTATTCATCTGGTATCCAAGAAGGAAGCTTATTTAAAAGGGCAAAACAAGGTTTCCTAAAACGTGATGTTGCAAGATCATACTGAATTCTTTTTCTTGTGGTTGTCATGCTTTGGACATGAGGTGTCCCCTGAAAATGCTCACGTGTTACTGCAGGAATGTTCAGGGGTAAACTGCTTAGATCAGGAGAGCTGTAACCCACTCAGTGCATGAACCCATTTGATGGATTAATAAATTGAATGGACTCACTGGGCGGTAACTGTAGGCAGGTGGGGTGTGATGAGAGGAAGCAGGTCATGGGTGTGCGGGAAGGTGTGCCTCTGGCTCTCCTTCTCCCTCTGCTCCAAGGCGGCCCTAAGCTTCCCTCCAAGGTGCGGTGCCATTCTGCCACAAAGCTCTGCTTCACCTCAGGCTCGGAGCATGAAGTCAGCTGATCATGGAACCATGAACCCCAAATAAACTTTTCCTTCTGTTTTCGTCAGGTATTTTGCTCACAGTGATGAAAAGCTCACACACAATGAGAAATGTGTATTGAGACATTATTCTCATTGAATTTTTTTTTCCTTAAATTTACAAATCCACTAACACTCCTCAATGATCTCTCTTTAAAAGGATAAAAGCAAATGCTTTAAATTAACTGCACACCTATGTTTGAGGCCTTGGTTACCTTTATAGATCTTTGTAATTGAATCTTATAAAATCATTTAAATCACGTTAAAATACATAAGCACTTGCTACCCGATCCATATCAATCTCACATGACCTGGTTTTAAAACTGGAAAGTCAATTAGCAGTATCTCCTTGCTTCCTAGTAGACACAAAATGAATGAAATGCAGCACGTTCACATCTTAGATAAGCTTTTTAGGGCCATTCCTGGGCTACACTATTATCTCCTTGATAGCACAGGTCTTCATCTTACTTTAAATAACAAATGAGGAGTTAGAATGAATACTCTTTCATACTTGGAACCTTTTTTAAGAGTTTTGTGCATGTATAGAAAGTATCTAAAAGAATATGTTGTGTTTTGAAAATCAGGTCCTAGAATTATGATCCTAGAATTTGGGGAGTTGAGGCAATTACCAAGTTGAGGTAGCCAGCCCTCAGAAAAGCACTAGTTGAGCCTACTCTGAAGAATGAACTTGAGGTATAGAAATTTTTGCTAACATTAGCCTTCAGCAGACTTTATAAATGAAATTGTTTGCTCCATTTACTTGTGTGCCCCAAGTGATGAAGTCTGCTTCTGCGATTTCTAGAATTATGTGGTTTCAAGATCGAGCTTCAGTGGACCTGTATCGGGACATCTTCTGCATTTTCTCTTATCTCTTGATTGTTGGGCCCCACATCCAGGGGTCATCTACTCCTGAGGTCCTAGTGAGTGGACCCACTATCCCTGAGTCCTCAGCAGCAATTGCTTGATTCAGTTCCCCAGTGTGCTTTTCAGTGGTACAAATCATGATAAACACACAATAGCAACCACTAATGTGAGTTAGATTTTATTTTGGAATTTGTGTGTGTGTGTGTGTGTGTCACAAGATGGTTAGACATATTTAAAAGTGTGTAAGAGGGCTGGGGATGTGGCTCAAGCAGTAGCGCGCTTGCCTGGCATGCGTGCAGCCCGGGTTCGATCCTTAGCACCACATACAAAGATGTTGTGTCTGCCGAGAACTGAAAAATAAATATTAAAAAATTCTCTCTCTCTCTCTCTCTCTTAAAAAAAAAGTGTGTAAGAGATGACATATCGCCACAGTTGGGAATAATAATGTACTGTTTTTGCAATTATTGTAAGTCAAAATCACTCCCACGTCACCTTCATATGAACAAACACTTCCATGGGATGGTGTACGTGCTTGGTCCAATTCTGAGCACTTTATATAGACTAAGTTGCTATATAGAAACCTCATAAGAAATGAGGTGGGTAGACTATTATGTGCCCATGTTACAGACAGAGAAGAATAAGACACAGAGCTTAAGTAATTTGTCAAGGATTCCCCAGCTAAGGAATGGTTGAACTGGGAAGTTGGTGGAGGACCCACACTGGGTGCTCTCCACCATGGCAGATGACCATGGTTGCATGAAAGCACTCTATATTTCCTTCATGAAAATGTACTTTAAATCTCTCTCCTTATGAGAATTTGCCTGCTTAGGACAACTATAAGAATGTCAACTGTTAACTAACAGCAAATGACAACACAATCTTCAATTTTGGATGAAAATGAGCATCAATAGATTGCAAATATAGGCTGATAATGAATGCACAAGCCTTTCAAATAATTGGAAATTGGTAGTTTTAGTATTTCACTTGATTGGAATCACTAGGAAAATGTCATATTAATTTGATAATTGCTACCAGGGTTGAAATTTAACCCAAATCTTTCTAGAAGGATAAGTCTCACAAGCTCAAACAATCCCACAGTTAATATCAATCTCCAAAATGCTCAAGCTACTTATCCATTCCCATGGAGGGTCCAATGGCCTGTGCAAGCAGGATTTACCCTCCCCCTCCCACCCCCAGGAGTTAGGAGGGCTCTTCTGACCATATCCCAGATGGAAAGATACAGATATATATGTAGGGAAATCAGAAACACATTTAAAATATGCATTAAGAACAACATAAGATTATTTGTTAAACTATTTGTTTTCTTAGAAAGTGAATTTTTCTCTTTTTCTTTCATACTTCAAACTATTTCATAGAATTTTAGAAACAAAAAATAATACTAGATATAAACTTCATCGCCTTAAATGGAAATAGGCCTATTGGTGTATCTCATAGAGAATGAGGAGGCTTCTCAATGCATCTCTAGGCCTCCTGCAGGAAGAAAGAAGTTCATCCCATTGTCTGCTCTTTGAACAAAGTAGTAACATTCATGATTTTGCTTTATGGTGGTATAGACTTTCTTTTTTCAGATTATTTACTTAATTATTTTTAGACCCTAAAACTATAGTACATCTCCAGAGCAGGATGCTAGTCAAATTATTCTGTTGGTAAATAGTATGCGCTCGTTTGCGAAGCACTTTATCATTGGCTCTGAAACATAGATAGAAAAAGCTTAAAATGTTAGAGCATCCATGATAAAGGAAGAGACGAAAAGAAATGCAAGAAGTGAAATCCTCTCTGGTAGAACCTCAATTTTAGTTATTTTGGGCCCATATTGAAATCTTGTACAAGTGTATATTGGGCTGCACAGACAGGATTGCTCTCACTTCACTGTCTAGTCACGCCCCCCTCTTTGGGTACTAAGGCAATAGGCAGATACGTGGAGTACAGGGCTCACGAAGAGTGGCCACAAATAACCTCTGTGGTACAATGAGCAGGGTATCAAAGGGGTGAGAGATGGGGCCTCAGAGGTTTGGTAACTGGGGCAAGTTCCTGGGGCCAGAGCAGGGTAGACACAGAGGCACTCCAGGAATGGACCCACGTGAACACCATGAACACCAGACCATGGGGACATTCATTCCCAAGCTGTTAGGATACCGAGGAAGGAGCCTTACCCGGGCTTTCTGCTCCATTTCTAGCATTAATCTTTCGTGTTGCTCAGCTATGGCCAGTGTCGCAGAATGGACCTTCTGATAGATCATTTCTCCTTCCCTTGTTTGAAAAGTGAATAGTCCTTCTCCTGTGTCACACATTCTGTGAGAACAGAGATAGGGAAAGAGATGGGTCTTCACGTGTTCAAGTGGTAACAGTCCTCCCTGTAAGACGCCCTTGCCCTCCTGCTCCTTATCCTAGCTCTCAAGAGTTAGTGAAGCAGACTCATCCTGGACCAACCCCAACTAATGCATCTTCAAACGGTATGTGGGAAGGGAATAAAGCTGAAAACTCATCAGCATTTGGACTTTTAAGGACAAAGCGTTCACACAGCATAGAAAGCAACAGATACAAGTGATTCAGGTCACAGCAGTGCATTCCACATGGAAAAGAGAGTAAAAGACAACAATTGTTTTCTTAAAGGTTTTCATGTGCTTGATATAACAGTACCATCACCTACAGGCAGCTCTTGAAACGTGTAGGACTTGAGAAATATTTGCAATTTTGCATTCACTGGAACCAAGGAGAAGGTGACTACGTAGCTTTTATACATTTTTAATTTCATATATTTTTAAATATATAGATTTGCATACATAGGCTAAATCTTTTATTTACCCAAATGATTCTTAGGTAAATCTTGGTATAACTCAGGGCTCAACATGGCACAGAGGAGATTTTGGAATATGAGAGTCTTTGGTTTAAACATTCTCTGCCAATCACCAGCAGGGTGCACTTGCCTCTTAAGTTGCCTCTACCTGCTTCCCATATCTCTGAAATAGGAGTTGTAGGATCATTTCTATCTTGATAAAAGTGAAAGAGTTGGTAGATAAAATATTTACAGTGATGCTTAGCGCATATTAAATACTCAAAAATGTTAGCTACTGCTATGTTCATTATAAACTTTGGGAATTAATCATAAGGAAAGTTTGGAAATAGTTAAATATCTACCATAGAGAAAAGAAATGATTGGGTAAATTCTATTTTTTAATCTGCTATTTTGATACAGACTATTTTACTATTATGATGCAGTGCTTTGGAAAGACTATTAAGCAACTAATGCTGTCATTTCTTCTGAACATATAATAACATTAAAATTCTTACTGTGTGAATTTGAGAGGAAAAATAAGAATATAAGCTCCTTTTTATTATTAATTGAAATGTAATTATAATTGACTTTTTAAACCACGATGTTTTATTGGAAAGAAAACCCACAGACAAGTTGTAAGTAGGAACTCAGGTCAGTTTTATTAACATACCTAGTTCTAAAATGAAAAGGATTTAAATTAATACTTTAGGCCAGTTTTATCAATGTGATATGAATTCTCAGACATTGGCTATTAACTAGGCCACCAACCAACCAGGTGATACCATCAAAAAATTTGCAGGTACCAACATCAAAATATTCTTGAGGCCAAACTACTTCTTCAAGCACCAAAAAGAGTTTCGATTCTACTCTACGATTCTCCAAGGAGTTTTTCAGCAGAAAAGAACTGTCTCAGGAGGCTTCCGACATTGCAGAGGCTGCGGTCCCTCAGGGCCCATGGACCCAGCACTCAGCTTCTGTGAAAGCCATCTTAATAAAATTCACTCAGCGGGAAATGGAAAGTCTGGGGGGGAAATGAAGAGTTTTTGCAAAGTGAAACAAAGGAGCAAGCTTTCTTTGTTGATTCAGGGGAGTCAGGGAATCTAAGAGCAGCAACAAAGCCACTGGTAGGTCCTGAGGGCCTCTCCTTGGAGGTTGAGTTTTGTTCCTTGTCCTCTGAAAAACACTTCCTAGTAGCCTCCGGAAATAAGATAATGAAGGCACCAATTGTTATTTCATACTCAGTCATTGAGATGTAAAATTCTAACGCTTGGCCACTTCCTGGGACTTAGCTCTGCCCTGTGGGGAAGTTTGAATGCTTTACAGGAGTTTTTTTTTTTTTTCCCAGTCTCTGAAATAACTACTGTAAATTCATCCCTTGATCAAGAAACAAGGCATTTAAAAAATATTGTCTTGAGAAGCAAAGAAACAGAAGGTGCCATGTCTGAAATATTGGTGCCTAAGCCAAGCTGAAGGTCAGAATTCTTCGGGGTTCTGTTGGTCATGTTGAAATGAGCTACTTAGGTTTCCTTGGTTGTTGCTTAAACGTGTTCTCTGGGGGCTGGCAGGGAACACATATGGAGACTTTTTATTATCTGTGTAAACAGCGTGGTGGTAGCAAGCCAACACTGGAGGGAATGTCAGAGAGAAAGATGGAATAATTTCGATGGCTTTTGACCTGCTTCTCAAAATAGGGCCCAGGGCTGGTGGTGCAGGCCTTGCGGGGAGGGAGCTTGTGCAGAATCTGAATCTGCATGTTAACAATGTCCCCAGGTGGTTCTATGCACATGGTGACCCTTGGGAATCAGATGAGCACCAATTAGAAGCCTTATTTGTGCAGTTTTCAAAGATGGGACACATGAAACTGAAGGTTAGAAAGGAAGAAATAGAACAGAAAAAGAGCAGACAAGCAACCAGAAAGGTTCTTTTACTTAACTGGGAGAGAGGTAGATGGAGGGGTCAGTTCTATTTGAATACAGTCACTCTTGCCCCTAGCACAGCATCCAATGATTGCATTTTGAGAAGTGGTGAAAATATGGATAGCGTATGTTGTTCTGACTCCAAAGTAGAATTCAATTGACATTTAAAGACAACTGTAAATATTGTCTTTGACTTAGTAAGGTATTTGCACAAAATTAATGCATTTTCTTATCTAAAATAAAATGCTGAAGAATATAATCCTGAAGGTCCCTTCTAGTTCTGAGGCATGGTTTGGTGCCTCAGAGATTCTAAGGAGGTACTACTGACACACGTATTTTGAAGGTTGTTTTTTTTCTTGCTCGTTTTCTGTTTTTGTTTGTTTTGACACTGTAGTATAAGGGAAATTATAGCAGCGTAATATTTAAAAGACTAGGGCACACGTTTGAAACAACATGCCATGGCCTATCATATAAACCAGTCACATATTTTTTAAGTAGGTCCTATGAAGCCCACACTGTCTTGGCCTGAGGTAGGAGGAGAGGAAAAAATACATGACCCACAGTCTCTGAGACTTTTCAAGAAGTGGGAAGAAAAGCACTGGTCAAAGAATCACATGGTTACTGTGGTGGGAGGATTGACCTGAGCAAGGGGTTCGCCTACTGGCTCCTCAGCTATAAAACGGGGGTATCCAAGCTTTCGTCACGGGATTTTCTTTTCTTCTTCTCCTCCTCCTCCTCCTCCTTTCTCCTTCTTCTTTTTTAAATTAAATGAAGTAACGAATGTGGTGAAGTGCAGGAAAGGACGACGAATTCAGCATGCCAGGATTATGCAAACCATGCAATTTCATGAACAGTCCTGGTTTCAAGAGGGGCCCTTGACTGGCTTCTGGATACAGCCTCAGGATGAGCCTTTGACTATCTTCTGCATGCAGCTTAGGATGGCCCTGGACTGGCTTCTGGATACTCTGCCTATTCCCTGCGGCAGTGAAGCCAGATAGGTTGAGACCCACACTGTGACTTGGGTGAGAGGCTGTCCTTATGCTGATGGAGGCTGTAGGCTGAGCAGCTGAGGTGGGTCCAGATGGTGTCGGGTGCCCCTGTGACTGACCCCAGTGAATCCCAGGACACAGGCTGGGGGAGCTCCGCTGGTTGTCAGCACTTCTCCTGTGTTGTTAAACATCCTGGCTGGGAGACCTGAGTGTCCTGAGGAGCACCGCTGGGGGAGCCCTGAAGCCCTTGCCTGATGTCTCTTGGTCTTTCCCTTTGCTGGTTTTAAACAGTGTGTCTCTTGGCAGTCAGCCATGCTGTGAGTATGAATGTTTTCTGAGCCTTGTGAGTCTTCTAGAAAATCATGAAGCCTGTGAATGGTCTTGGGCACCCCTCCATCTGAGACAGCTGGCTGTCAAAGCATTTTTATAAAATAAGAACCTAAAAATCCTAGTCTTTCCCCTAAATATTTGTTGACCAGATTCCTTTTCCAGCATATTCTCCTTCTTTATCCTGCCTCACCACTTTCAGAATCTCTCAAAATAACATCATCAGTCTCATTTCTGTTACATCCTACAAATACACATATCCACATAAGTTTTTTGTTCTTCCTATTATTAGTTCCTCAGGAAGAATAAGAAATTATGTGGATATCTCTATTTGTAGGAACGTGAACTCCAAATGAAGCACTCCAATAGAGGCTTTTGTAGTCGCCTTCAAGGAGAGAAAGAGCCCTAACATAGAACCCTGGAGGAGATTTTACTGGAGAAATAGTCACCCACATGTAACTACAATACCATCGCTCTCTTGCTCTCTTTTCCTGTAAATCTCCAACTTAGCTTTCTATGCAGTGGTGACTTTTAAATGCCAGCCTTTATTCTAAATGACAAGCGAAATAAATTTACCAAGTCAAAAACTATGGAGACACTTTACTTAAAATAAATAAATAAACAATCAGGGAAGCTTTAAAATAATTCTGCGAATCTCTTGATGAAGTTTTCTACAGGTGAATTAGATGACCCCTGTCAATTTTATTCTTCAGAGCTGTATAATTTCATTCTCACTTCAAGCTCTGCAATATTGTATACATATTTAATAACCAAATATTTATCCTCCATGCCCACAGACATTTAAAATTGCCTGGAATGGAGTAGAGCAGGAGCATGTTCCTGAAAACTCAGTGGTGTTTCTATCCAGAATTTAAAATTTAATGTTTAATTATAGAAAGTAATGGAACTCTTAGAAGCACAACTTTTCTTCAGAGGTTCTTACATCAATGAACACTTTTATTCCATTAAAGTTTTAACTATTTAGTGTCACTTAACAATGCTGACATTTTACGTTTTATAAGCAGCTATGGAAAGATTGGTTACTGTTTAAGAGCTCTGTTGATTTAAACATTGATCTGTGCAAAGAAACTATGAGCAATATGAACAATAGACTAAGGTATCGTAGAGAGTGGACTACGACATCATAGACAGTAGACTAAGGTATCAAAGGAGTAGACTGAGGCATCATGGGGAGTGGACTAAGGCGTCATGGACAGTAGACTAAGGCATCATGGAGAGTACACTAAGGCATCATGGAGAGTGGACTAAGGTGTCATAGACAGCAGACTAAGGCATCATGGAGAGTGGACTGAGACATCATGGAGAGTACACTAAGGCAACATGATGGAAACTCCAGAATTGAAAAATACAGTTAGTATCTGAAATAACAAAAAGCAGAAATCACAGAATGATTTTGAGATAAGAGTGGAGAAGATTGAGGAAAGTCTTGTCAAGAGACTGATGGAAATTATTCAGTCTTAAGAACACAGTGGGAAAGGATTGCTATAAAATGAACATAGCCATAGAAACCTTTGGGTAGAGATCAGCTCAGGTTGCAGACATGTGCCTGGAATTCCAGAAGGAAAGAAGAAGAAAAGAGGGAAAAAAATTCTAGAAGGAATAATGGCCCCCAATTTCCAAAATTGATGACAGATATAAATTTTCAGATTCAAGAAGTTTAGGAAATGCCAAGAATATTCCTTACTCTTGATTTTGCTCCAGTGGTTTTGGCTTTTGTAGTTGGACATTCCTCTTTTTCTTTTGTTGTGTGTCTCCCTATTGATCATCTACCTTCTTCCTCCTTCTGTATTGTCGTACCCTTTTTCTCAGGTTTCTGAAAAAACTCATCAAATTTATTTTCCTCATCATAGCATATTTATTTCATCCTTATTTTTCAGTTTTCTTCCTTCACTTCGAAGGATTCTGCTCTTTGATAGCTTTTATTAGAACTTGCAATAAAACTTTCAGAGCTCCCCGTTCTTGTGTAATTTGAGGACGATGCGTTTTCTTTATCTTTTTTTTCCCCATGTATTGCTTCATAGACCCTGATCCCATTATTTGTTCTCACAGTTGGGGCAATGTCTTTGGATTTGGTGTTTAAACAGACCACAGTGGAAATTTCCCTTGGCTTAGTAGGGCCCAGCTACTTCCTTTTGTAAAATGAATTGAAATAATGTCCACTTCCTTTACCTACGGCTCATTCTAATTGTGAAGAAAAAAATGTAAAGTCTTGCCAAGCCTATCCTAGTTAATGTTTTGAAAAAGTTTCCTTTTTACTGAAAACGCAGATATATAGATAGATAATAACCAGGACAGATAAACAGAGGGCAAAATAATTTCATAACACTAATTCATATAATGGTCAAAATGCAGAAGCAATGCAAAATTTCAGTGCTTTAGTAGGACAAGGAACATGAAATAATGAAGTTAAGTTTGATTTAGGAAATGCAGACTTTGGTTGAAGTGAATTCACCTACTGTAATTTACTATTTCTGTTGTTGTGTTTACTCATTAAATTTCACTGTGCTCTAGTGTTCCACTGTTGGTCAACCTTCCATCTTTCTATTTTTCTCCTGGCCACTCATCCACGGTCACGAGTTTAACTACCACTATTTGCTGTTGGCATTTCTTCTGAGTTTCTGACCTTTATTTCCAACTATGTGGTATTTTCCAAACAACTAAAAGTAAAAATATCTCAAACTGATAACATTAACTTTTTATCCAGGCTGCTCCTTTGCATTTTGTTTTGTACATTAACAAATGAATATCTCTTTCATTTCCCAAGGGCAACATGTGGGAATCCTTGTAAATACCTTTTTCTGACACAGAAGTGTCAGCTTCTGTCCTACTCCATGGATAACCCCTCCCCCTCCAGCCTCGCTGCAACCACTGGCATTTTCTCAATGAATCGTGCTCATCTGGGTCTTCATCACCATGTTCCTGCTGGTCTCTGTCAGGAATCCTGATCCAGACCTGCAGTCTGTCTTCTCATACTCAGATCAAAATTTATATATATATATATATATATATATATATATATATATATATATATATATAGATATAGATATAGATATAGATATATATGTCCACATGCACATGCATCTTTTTATATTTTTGTATGTCTGTTTGCAGATCACGGCCACCTCTCTGTGTCTTGTTGAGAGCCACAGCCAAAGGGGCCCCAGCAAACTTCCAGCTGCCAGCAAACTTCCAGCTGCTGGCTGATGATTGGCTCACAGCGGCCCCAGCAACATCTAGCTGATTGGCTCCTCGGCCCCAGCAACATCTAGCTGATTGGCTCCTCTGCGGTGATGCTCATTGGGCTGTTTCCCTGCCCTTTCAGACCACGGAGCTGCTCATTGGGGGACCTTTTTGGCTCCGCCCACGTGACCCAGCCAATCGGCCTCAAGAGCAGGAGGATTGGGGGAGGTGGAGAGAAGCTTGGGTGGGAGAGAGAGGCTTGTGGAAAGCCGGTGGTGGCAGTTGAGGCTCTGAGGGTTTTTCCTGAGAGGCTGTTTTGTTTGGCGTGTGTGGTTCTAAAAATAAAGTTAGTTTCTTTTGACAAGTGGCTCCTGATTGTGCCCAGCCAGACTGCGGCAGTGTCTCTCCTCTACTGGTTCTGTTCTCTAAAGAACTCTAATACAGCACGTCTATATTGGCCTTCTAACTTCTCCGGCCCTCTTCTAAGCTCGTGAAAATCTATTTTCCCAAACTGGGGAGCTAAAGAGTGATGAGTGGGAGCCACTGCCATTGCTGTCGTTGACAAAGCATCGGTGACTGAGAAATCCAAGGACGAAGAGAGATGAAGATGAACAGAGGAATTTATTTCTGCTTTGGGGTTTCTTTTTTCCCAGCACTGCTCTGGGAGCTCTTCCTGCTGAGATCCACAGTCAGAGACTTCAGTCCCTGAGTCAGCCTGTAGAGAAGGCAAGAGGATCCCCTTGATCCCTGGACCCAAGGAGCCACATCCTCCCCAGACAGAGCTGCAGACGAGGCAGGACTGATGAGGGGCAGGAGAAGATCATCTCAGTGTTTCGGCTAACTCTTTTACCAGCATAACAGATAATTTCCTCTACTGACAAAGCAGTGTGGAATCTTTCCCCCTAATATACTAAGGATTTCATTTGCTTGGGAGGTATAACTACAACAAAAGAAATACAAACCGATATTTTGCTTCTGAAATTCAGAGTAAGAGTTGAGTTACTGGCTAGGCAGATGTTTGTGAATTTTCAAATGCTAGGTCTGGATGACCACATCAATTTTACCATAAGATAGAAATTTGGACATGACTTGAGAGTTGACCTATTCCTTCTAGACCTCTCAACTATGGACAAAGAAAAGGAAGAGAGTCGGAACTTAGTGGATGTGGTTTCTATGTCTTGATGTCTTATTTAACTGGAAATTTCAGAGAAAGCAGGAAGGTAAAATTAATTGGTTCCCAGAGAGATGAATTGAAGGCCAAACTTCTCCATCCTAGTTTGTGTGCAGGGATCTTGGATTCCTCTGGGGACGACTGGGGTTGAGAAGAGAAGAGTATAAGGACTTCTAAGATTGAAGAGACTGGTCAGGGTCAGTGGTTTCAGGTGAAGAATCAGCATATCCCATGAAGGCCTCATGAGCTTGGATCCAAGGATCCTGTTACTCCAGAAGGCCATGTAAGTCTTTTATGTGTTCACACATCAAACTTGGAAGGAGGGGCAGAAGAAAGTGTAACACCAAGATGAGTCAACTTTTTCAAAGTGGAAAGTTAATATCTCTTTCCAGTGGGAGGAAGTTAGAAGGAGAAGTTAGAAGGCAAAGGTTCAGAAGAAATAGAAATATAGAGAAAATAAAGAATCTGCCTTTTCTTATGATTGTTTTCAGATGCCTTAGTATTTTAATAGAATTGTTAGTTGTTTTCTTAACTGATATATAGAGTATAAAAATTGCATATATTAATGAGGTACCATCTGATATTGTGATGCATGTGTATGTGGTGCAATGAGAACCTACACTTTCTTACCTGATTAATGTTACATTCTTGAACCTGGTACCATTGTAAAACATTTACAGTTTCAAATAGTAACATCCTCACTCCATTATTTATGAAAATTAACCAGCAAAGGTTTTCATTTACTGTGGTCTTAAATTTTCATAGTCCTCAAGTTAGTTCTACAATCTACATGAATTTGGGTGCAAATCATTTTCTCTAAGTTTCTGCCTGTTTGGCCCTGTCTAACTCCTCTACAGCGTTGCTTTGGCCTCTCAAGACCCTTGAAGGCATGGAAGCAACTGCATATAGAGAGGCTCTTGTCCTTGTCAGAAAGCTGTGGAAAGAGCCCAAACCAAAAATAGATTCTTACAGATGTTGAGCACATCAGGTGACATTCGTTAGAAAGGGCTCTTTTGATCTAGATTTCTGTCACTTCAGAGGACAGTCAGCTGTGGTCTGAGTGTTCATGTTCCCTCAGAATTCACTTGTTGAACTTGATTCCCAACTGAATTGTGTGAGGAGTGGGGCCTTGGGAGGTGAGAGGTCATCAGAGCGGAGCCCTCTGCCCAGGACAATGCTCTGATAGGCCAAGCGCCCAGGTAGCTTGCGTGGTCCCCACCGTGTGGCACACAGCCTGAAGGCACTGTCTGAGGCTAGGATCTCACCAGACACCAAATCTGGCAGTATTTGGTCTTGGATTTCCCAGGCTCCAGGACTGACTATGTGGAATGTTGGTTGTTGATAAGCCACTGAGCATGTGGTATTTTGTAACAGCAGGACAGAGCCTGATGATAAAGAAAGGGTCGCCAGGGCAAGGCGTATTTGGGCACTAGTATCCTTTCCACTGTGGTCGTTTGCTCCTGAAGTGAGGAGTGTGGGTTAGTAGGCTAACATCAATTGTTTAGGTGAGATTAATGCTGGTTGAGAAGCTGGAGGAAGGCATGGAGGGAGAGACAGCAGCACATAAACAAGAGGAGGAAGACAGAAAGGCAAATGGGAAGGACCAGGGATCCATGGTGACACCAAATCCCCAAGGAGTGAGAGAAATAGCTTTTCAGTGAACACGTTGGCTATATCCTGAGGACAGAAAAGGCTGAAGGAGGCAGAAAGAACCGAGCAGAGTTCAAAAGCAGAGGAGGGAAAGGGCCAGATCTCAAATACAGGAATTAATTTCAAGTTCCCATCCTCACGGTGCATTCTGTGCATCTGCTTAGTTGCCTCCCCCACCCCCCACCCGTGTCCAATGCCTGCCTGAGTGTACCCATTCTAACTTCAGCCGTGGGCTGGTGGCAGTCACCTTCTCCCCCATGCGTGACGGAACCTGGAAGACGCAGAGCAGTAGGCCCAGTGTCAGACGTTCAGCTGTGAAGGAAGAGGCCAGAGGAGGCCAAGGGAGCTGGCTGAGGGTGTGTGGTCTCTTCCCGAATCCTCAACTCCCTCTTCCACCTCCTCTGATGGGCGTCTTCTGTTTCATATATTTGAATTCCATCAGATTTCTGCTAACAGCAACTGAATCCATATTTTAAACAAGGCTTTAGGGGGTTCTTCTGCATCTGTAGGTTTAGAGGTAGTGCTTTTAGAACAAGCCTAGGATGCTTTCCAGCTCCATCCAACACAGGAGGGAAGCACGGGCCTCAGAGACCTTCTCCTGGGACCCAGTTCTCATTGGCTTTTTCTGATTCAGCTCACATTGATGTGTCACTCATCGTATTGGAGGCACTTGCCCTTCCCAGCAGTGACCCTGTGGTGACGGGTGGTGACTGGGGAAGCTCTGGAAGGAGTGACATTCTGGTGCATCTTCAGAGGGGCTTATGCTCTGACACTTCCATCTTACCATGTCTCCACCAGGGAACCCAGATAAATTTCTTTCATGTTTCTAGAAGTATCTTCAGTTATTAAACACCTCTAAGAGAGTAGAGGGGCTCAGGGTAGGAATTAGGAATCACTTTGGTAATGGAAGATTGTTAACAGGAATGGAGTTGGGTTCTCTGGAGAGGGCGGTCTCAAATGCTAAGGAGAGGGAGCTATGACATCTTTGGTTTTGCCAGCCAGTGGCTGCATGAAGGTATTGGGGTCCTGGCGTGTCGGGTGGAGGAAAGGAAACACAAATATCCAAGCGGCAGGTGATTCCAACCTAACCTTCTTCATAACTCTGGCACTAGCTGGTCAAGGCGCCCCGGTAGCTACTTTCACAACTCGCTCCCTCTCAGACTCCCTTCCTGAGTGGGGAGACAAGAGCAGGGAGAGGACGGAGGGTCTGTCCTTCCCCTGGCAGCTGTCCCAGCCCAGGCTGCAGCACTGTGGAAGCAGAAAGGAGGTGGGTGTCCTACTGTTCCCAACCCAGCACCAACTGTGGTGAAGAGTGGAATAAAAATGCCAAAGGAAAACAGTTGAGAGAAATTTACTCTTCCATCCTTGAGACTTAATGGGAATTCAAACAATATCTGGTTTATCTCATTTTTCTTAAATGGTCAATGTCCTCCACTGCATATTATAAATACCTATCCTGGATCGAAGCAATCTTGGTGAACGATATCCCTTCAGGTTTGCTAAGATGTTAAGACACCGTGAAACATTCATTTTAAATGCTATCTTCTCCATGAACGAAAGGTGGTCTGCTGCTAAGTAATATCTAAAGGACTTAATTTTTTTTTTATTAAATGTAAGGATGAATTATAGGAATCTTAATTATACAAACTTTTGAATTGTTCTGTTGCCTAAGATTCTAGACACTTGCCCTGTAAAGTTATTTTATACTTCCATAATTCATACTATATTCTTTCATCCCAGGATTAATTTTGCATTTAAATTGCCAATGATCATTTCTTTTGCTATTTTTATCAGGATTTCCTAGAAATTGAAGAGGAGAAGGAATTAGCAGGGTAGAAAACAAGACAGTTTTGGAAAGCAAAAGTCCCGTGTGTCTTTTTAATGAATATTAGGTTGAAGGAGGCTTCAAGGTTTTGACACCAGGGTTAAGCAGCTGGCTGGTCTGGGTTGCACTAAGCGAAGGAAGGGCCAACTTGCAAGGTTGGAAGGAAGCCTGCCAAGGCTTGGAGCATACTGGGGCAAACACGGATGAGGAGCCAAAGGGTCTGGATGCCTTGGAAAAGTCACCTGATCTCCAAGTCTGTGGCTGCTTATCCCTAAAACTCTTCTTTACACCCCTTAGAGGGTTTCTATGAGGATCAAAGTGAACCACTGTAAAGCCCTTTGCCATGATAGACATTATTAGGGTGATCATGGGAGCTGGTTTTCCAGGAGCTTGGCGGTCTCCAGAGAGCTGAATCTCCCTCCTTGGCAACATTTTCTTGATGTGCTTTTGAACCCCGCCCTCGCTGCTGCACGCCCCCAGGATGGGGCATTTCTATGTTTGGAAACTGTGTTTCCCGTTCTCAGACTGTGACCCACAATACTTGTGACAGGTCCAATCGCACCCTAGCGTGTGCTTTATCAAACTAGCAATTGTCCCCGTCAGAGAATTTGCTGGTGAGAAACTGCTTCCCTGGTAAAGTGGCAGCTGTCCATGGGGGAAATCTCCCTGTGCTTTCACCCAGACAGACAGCAGTTGAGAAGGCAACAAAAACACTTTGCTATTTCACCGGCTGTGGAAAGGTCATTTTTCAACCTGCTTGTCCTGCAGTGGAAGGTTTGGATTGCATAGCCTGGTAATGTTGCCTTTTTTGAAATTCATTTTTTGTTCTTGGGGCTGTGCTATCTTCCCCTGTAGCAAGTTTCATTATATTTAGTGCAACGGAGCATGCAGATGATGTGGTTAGAATTGCAGGCAAAATAACCCATCCCTACTCCTAGGGTCAGCTTTCTACATGTTTAATAGAAATGCAGTATGAAAAATATTTATAGCTGATCAGGACTGGAATAAATAGAAAAGCCTTAGTTTATGACTCTGGATTTGGGTGGCTTTATGTGTTTTTCTCTGGGGTTTTATTTAAAATGTCAATTTTATTTGGCAAAACGGTAAGAAAACAGAATTTCTTTTCAGGATTATTTCTTATTTCTT